GAGCCCTGCTGGAATGAAGGAGGCCTGAGCAGTGTCCTAAAGGTACTCCAGGAGGCAGCTCCATGCCTGGTAAGCAGCACAGCTTCAGCTCACACATGCACATCCCCCCAGCAGCAAACAGCATCCCCACACCTCCACCCTCCCCAGCCCCACGGAGCAGGGCAGTTTTTCTGCTCTCCACCAGGTGACAAAAGACCAGTCTCTGCACAAGTCGTTCAGGAGAACAGCAGGAGTTGCCAGTTTCCTATGCAAAGCAAATTGCAAATTAGTTTTCCGCTTTCTACTAAATTTAGGGGACTTCTGTTGTCCTCCTTTTGACTGTTGTAATTTAGGCACATAAATAGTACTTAAACACTTGCTCTTTAAAAGATAGGCAGCAATTGTATGTTTACAACCTTAGGAGGAAAAATGCAAGTTTACTGCTTTACTCATTTTTGCTTTGACCAGTGACATTTAATCCCAGTGAAGCTGCAAGCTCTGCTTTCAGTGCTTTCCCTGGTAAATGTCACTCTGCTACAGTACTGCATTCACCAACTCTAAAGCAGCTTTTATCAGCAGTGGTGCCCTGTGCCAGTGTTCCTGGTGTTCCCAGACTGCTGGCTTAGCTTATTTTCTTTCAACAGCTGTGGAAAATATCTGAAACACAAAGAACTATTCCACTTTTATATAAAAGTGATTAATAGGAAACTAGATTTATAGAGTTGCTGAAGGTAAACGTATTCTGATCCTTTACTTTCAAACCTCCATTAATATACAGCTTGATTCATTTATTGTACTTTTTAGAGTTTGGTTAGATTGAATTGGCAGAGAATTTTAGTATGTTGGACTTAGTATATTGGCCTAGCTGTGAGGCCAGGCAGCCAGTGGACCAATTTAACAGTGAGCAGGACATTTCCTTGCATTAGAGGTTCTTTTAAATGGTGTAGAGAGACCTGCAGCACTGGCTTCTGGAACAATCCATTACAGTTTCTTGGCAACGAAGTAGGGACCCCCAGTGACCAGGAAAGTCCTTGGACAATTGCAGCTCAAGAGGTCACAAAAGTGACACAAAAATTGTCTTTGGCCCCCTTTTTTCCCCCTTTCTGATGCCTTATTAAGGAAGGCTGAACTCAGAGATTTTTAGAGGCACATCACAAATATTCTACAAGCAGCCTTGTGGCTAAAGTAAATAGATACTGAGGAAAACAGATAATTTTGAGTAGATACTTGAGGGAAACACCCCCCCAATAGCTGCTTGACCTTACAGAGGCCCTTCTTGTCCCAGAGATGCATGCCTCTTCCCCAGAGCATACTGATGATTGCCATGGGCTTCACTGGGACATACTGGTATTTTGCTGGTGGGGAAAAACAAAAGCTTTGGTCTTTTCCAGGTATAAGACATTAATCATTGTCCAAAATTTACTTTTGAATAGTGTTTTGAAATTCACTAGTAGGACTGTTCATCTTCTCATCTTTGAGGAAGGCTGTAGGTGATTCACTCCCTTTCCATCATCCTTTCCAGTTTGTGTACAGGCAGGAGCTGAGCAGCAGCATTTCTACCTTATACCTTCTGCAATGGCTCCTCTTCTTCATAATGTACCTATTTGTTTTCTCAGAAGTTTCTCCTGTATTCCTTGAGGAGTGTATGATATTGGACTCCAAGCAGAAGGACCACTGGTCTCCCTTCCTGCTGGCAGTGTGAGAGGGAGTAAATAGGACTGGTCAGATGAGATTTTTTGGAGGGGAATTGCCACTGCAATTGTAACTGCACCAGTTCTAAGCAGGACATGTCTGTAGACATGCACTGAAGGGGTTAACCAAAGATTAATTTTTAGTTCTGACTTACAGATCACAGCTACCAGTTCAGATAGAGGTCTGTTTGTGGGCTTCAGCAGGTTTATAACAGTCTCTTTCAGGGGCCAGTTCCTAAATCCAAGCATTTGGGGATATGAACATCTATAATCAGAGTATTATTATGAGCATTTTGCATACAGAAATCCTATAGAGCCATATCTGCTTTCTCCTGTTTGAACTCATATGTGTGGAAGGGGAAAGAGCAGAGGACATGAGTTATGATCAGACCATGTTTTTTTTAAAGATGCCAAGCCCATAATTTCCCTGATCCTTTTTCCTGCATGCAAGTACTTTTCCATGGATCAAAGGGCATCTGAGATGCAGCTTACAAATTATAAACAGTCAGTAGAAAGTATAAACTGAGTGCATCATATCAAAACCTGAATATGGGAGAGGTATTTTATTATGATTTTAATTTATTTTATTTTCATTTATTTTTATTTTATTTTAATTTTGATTGCTGTATTTCTGGTTTTTACCTCAACAAAGTAATAACAGCAGCTCAATGTGGCCTTTAGAGCTACATAGAGGTTCACAAATAGACACATTTACTGGTATTTCATTACATGATCTTTTGTGAGTACACTTAATTTGGAATTCATTGTGGCATTTACCTCTGTGTGTGCATCTAGACACAGGGATACCAAAATACCAGAAGGACTGGAGCTGCTGGCCAGGCTTAATAAAGGGAAGAAGTAGGATAAAGTCTATGGCTTGATAAAGACCATGATTGTAAAAATTCAGCTTTTTCTAAAACCTGTTCTACAGTTCTCAACTTCTGGGCCCAGTAGAATGTTATGATGGCTGACCAAAATAATATCCACAACTGATACATTTTGTGCCAGACTGGGGAAAGTAAGGGACCAATATTTAAGCTTTCATAGTAGGTGGAAGCTAAAAGGGTGCAGAGCCATTCAAAAGGGAAAACAGCTGGAAGGCTGCCTGAGAACAAGGATGCAAAGAGAGATGAACACCAGTGATGACAAAGAAAACTTGGAAAGAAAGGATGGGTGGGAGACATCTCAGAGGATTGGGTAGAGTACAGACAGATTGATGGAAAATGATGGCACTGAGGAAGGGACAGGAGAGAGGATGGCAATAGAACGGAGAAAGGGACAGGGAGCAGTGAAGATAAAGCAATATGTGTACTCCAGGCAGTTCTGCTAAAGGAAAGTGGAGTTTCTGTTCAGCAGTAGTGCACATTTTTTGTCTGTTCCCTTAAAGCTGAATTTTGAATAGGAAATCAATAGTTAGACTGTGTACAACAAGACTGCATATTAAACTCACAAAAATAGTAAGTAGTAAATAATTTTTGGGGGCTTCAGGTGCTTCTTATGCTTCTTCAGGGATGCCGGTGGGTTTTGCCTGCAGACACAGGAGAACACATTATTTCCTATGCCTATATTTAGAGTACAGTAACAAATGTTATTACAAACAGAGATACCTAAACATGCCTTAAGTTACACGTCAATAGCCATGTTCCAGTATCACAGTCAACATACAAATTAATCAATCTTTCCAGGAAATACTGCAAAATGCATCATTTAGTTCACAGATCTGGAAAAATTTCTTTGAAATGCAAAAAGGCAGCATGTGTGGTTGGTTTATGTCCTTACTAAATGTAAAAAACAGATTTTCATTCTCAGTAGATTGTAGAGTAGGATTTAAGTGTGGATGGGCTTGAAATCAGATTCTGCAGGAGGTTTGAAACCACAGTATTCTACTCTGATTTCAAAATTCTAGGCTGCAAAGATGATTTGTTAACTTTCTTAGCTATCTAATACAAAAATAATATAAAATAACTACATCATTGCAAGTTTCAAATTTGAGTATCTGTGGATGTTGATACCCTAAAAATGTCATGATTAAAATGGCATACAGCATATTACTTGTCAGGGACTCTGAGAAAATATCAGTGAAGTCTTGTATTAATAAATAGTTCAGTTAAGATCAACAATAAAATCAGGACATTTTTAGAAACAATATTACAGTCTGTTGATTCTGGTCAGAAAACGCAGCATTAGAGTAATCACATCCCCAAGCTGGATTTCTGGGGCTGTGATCAAGGCAAAGAATAGGTGAGAGAATTTGGAACTCCATAGCACCAAATCTGTTGTTGCTTTTAGCTAAAGCTAGGTGCTCTTAACCAGTTTATCAGTGAGATCTTGCCATGAAGCAGGAAAGGAAATGTTCTGAACTGTTACAGCCCTGAAGCAGAAATTGAGATTTTTCTCCCCACCAATATAATATCTTTCACAAGCTGGTGAACTTGGAACAAAAAAAAAAATGTGACTTTATGTGGTATAGGGCCATGATTTTATAAAAGAACTCTTTATTTCCATGTAACCCCAGCTGTGCAGAAAAGTGCTGATTACATGGTAGTATTTAAGTTTAGTATGAAATTTCTTGCCTGAAATCAATTTTGATACCAAGTGGAGTGCCTAATATACCCCAGTTTAAACCTTTTAGTTTTTTTAAACAATCTGTTTTTCAGTTGAACAATATCTAAAATTAAAAGAGTACTTTCTTTCATTGTTAATGGTCTGTGAATTTGAGATCCTCTGCTCAAAGGACATGATATGTTATTACCACTACGCCTTCCTTTTGTATTTGCTTTTAACTGTCTGCTAGTGTTTATTAAAAACAAAAAATAAAATCTAGTCACACATATCAGCTAACAGATTCTTGTGAAGGTCCTAATTCATCAGCACATTTTTGATGAACTCTTAAGTGTTCTGCTGACTTAATCCAACGTTCAAGATGTTTATAACTGAATCCCAGGTTTAATCCTAATTAAATTTCTTTGGCTTTATTATGTGCACAGATTTCATGACTGATATAACACAAAGCTGAGAATGGAAGCTGTTTTGGTTATATACCCACAAGTCAAGGAATTGTAAACTTTTCCTTCATAGAAATAACTGTCCCATCTCAGAGGTCTTTTCCTCCTTCGTGACATGTAAAGAAATATGGTATTTTTGACAGCTACTTTGAAATATTTTGTTTTGTTTGGCCCCCTCCTATTTTTTCATATTAACTTGCCTTTTCTGGGTTTAAAAAAAAAAAAAATTAAAATATATTTTTTTGTGTAAATGCAATGTTAAATAATTCTTTACTGTATGAAGGAACTCATTATTTACTTTTGTGATGTGTTTCATCTCTTTTAGATACTGTGCAATGGACCAGGAACATGTGTTCCTGTCTGTTTATCTGCTTTTCTTCTTGGCCTTCTTCGAATAAAGAGAACAATCATCGTGTATGTAGAGAGCATCTGCCGTGTGGAAACTTTATCCCTGTCAGGAAAGATTCTTTACTACTTTTCAGATTATTTCATTGTTCAGTGGCCTGATCTAAAGAAAAAATATCCCAAGTCAGTATATCTTGGTCGAATAGTGTAACAACAGAAGATAAGCTAAGCTTTACCTGAAATAGACTCTGCAAGCTCCTCACTTGCATTCCTGTAGTAATTTATTTCCAATAATTCCTGTTAAGAAATTAGGCTGGTACTTTAAAATGAGACAATAAAGATTTCTCTACATCTAAGTAAAATTTTTGTGTATTTGTATTTATTGCTATCATGTGGGTCTGTTCACCAGTAACCCATAGTGGCTCAAAGTCTGTGCTGTCTCTGTTTTCTTCTAGTTTTCCTGCTATGTGAATGGTAATTTTTGTCTACAAATAAACATGGGACTTTGTATGAATGTAACATTTCCTGTAAGGAAGCTTTGTGTCATTTTTAAAATTGTAAGCAACAAAGTCTTTTTCTAGCACAACAGACTTTATTTCCTTTATGCTAGTGGTGAAGTCCCTTGTGAATCCTTCGAGTATAAAGGAAACAGTTATATTAGGTTGGCTTCATGACAGTTTGTACTTTACAATCTTCCAAAACCCCCAGAGCATTAAACCAGTATCATTTTCCCTCTGGTCTTGTCTAAGCTGTCCTTATAATCTGTTGTGCACCTTTTGAAAATTCTCGCTCTCTTCTTAAGATAAATAGAAAGGTGACAAGTGTCATGCTACAGGCACAATACTTACCCATTTAAGAAGACTTTCTTCAAAGCTTATGTGCAAAAAGCCTTACCAAATCGACATCAAACAGCAAAACTGTCAGCTGGGGAAATAGAACTGGTTCAAGCTCTGAAATAGAGAAAAAAAAATCAGTAGTAAGGGAAGGAACAGTTTCCCTCTTTTCCTGATACAGTGAATTTGACTTTTGGTATATCCTGTTTTCTCATTTTAAGCACCTTACTTTCAACAGTACAATATACACTCAAGAGTTTGCCATGAAAAGTGGTATCGTGTACATTGGAACAATTTTTAAAAGGTATTTTGTTGGCTGTGTGTGAGAGCATATTCCAGCATTTCACATTCATCTGGCAAAATGTAATTCTACAGCTATCCCACCTGTAAAGCAATATAAACACATCTGTCATCTGTACACACACAGAGTGCTATGTGGCTGGCTACAGACACATAAACAAGGCAAAAAGCTCCAAGAGGAGCAGAACCTCCCTCCAGAGTGCACAGCCTGACTGGTGAAGCCAGGAGCAGCTCCTCACGCTGCCCCAGGAAGAGACTCCGGGAAGGCTTTTCCTCAGCATCGGGTGTCAAAACATTGCAGCAGCTATTCTGGTAGGGAATGGGGGTGGAATTTAGCTCAACAGAAACAATGGTTCCTGCTGTTAGGAGACAAGGGTCCAGAGGAATTGGCTGCTTCATGCAGAAAACCATTAGGAAATGTCAGAAAACAGTGCAGAAACTTACTGTCACAATATTGCAAGGCTCTGCAGGGGCCTGTGGGGAAGCCAGCTGTTATAACCTGTCCAACAGGCTTAATAATCCTCAGCATAAGCAGAGTCCTTGATGTGGTCACATGTGAGAACAGGGAGTTTTTGTGGGTTTTAACCAAGATTATGTCTGAAATTCAAGAGCAGTTAATAGGTCAAGGCTATGTGAGAAGGACTTTATGCAGCACATACCGAGGTCCTGGAAAATTACTTGGTTGAAGTAAATCTGATGTGTCCAAGGGCTTTTCTCCCCTGAAGCAGAGTCAGGACAATCTTATCATGACTTTCTGCACAGTTGCAGCTAGTTTGATAAGTTGGAGACACACTGGGCTCTATTATGGCTCATGGTAGTTTGTTTTTGATCAGTGCTTTCTCTCCTGAATCTTGCTTTCTGTTCTGCAAGGGAACTAGAGTAGAGGGGAGAAGGACAGGCAGCCTCTTCCTCTGCTCTGGGTGAGGGGCAGCAGCGCAGGATCAGTGTCCTGGGTTCAGAGAAGCCAGAGCAGGAGGGGCCGGCCTCGGCCTGCTCAGATTTTATAGCGCAGTGAAAGCATCTCTGGCTGCTCTGCTGCTCCCTCAGAGCCCTCCCCAGGGCAGGATTTGGGGTTTTGGTGTGCGGCCCAACTGCGGGTTCATAAACTTTGTGAGCCTGCCTTTGAACACTGTGGAGTTCCAGGGATTTTCTTTTGCCTGTCACCTGCACAGCAATGACTACTGCTAAAAGAAAGAACTTGCCTGTTCAGACCTGTGACCTCCTGTGTAAACACTGAGGGTAACAGCAGATTTCTTCACAAGAGGCTGTCCTGAAAAACTGAATTGCTCTAGGCCATCTGAAGTGGAGGAGTCTCATTGTCAAGGATTTGGGAAGACTTTTCCCACTTTTTTTCACTGCCAACCTTCTGGGGGAGCAAAGCGAAGAGTGTCTCAGCCTGTATTGAGATGTTCACATGCATGTTCTTTACTTTGGTAAAGCACTCTGGGGAGCACAGGTTAAAATAGCACATACAAAGTGTTTTTTAATGCAGATTGTTGGCTGTGAGGGTGTGGGATGGTACCCATTCCCTGGGACTGGTATTTTCCTTACTGGTTCAAGTGCCTACTTGAGTTAAGGGCATTTACTTTGCAGCAGTTTCTAATTAGTTCTAGCAAGTGAAAACTTGGATTAGAAAGGACCCAGAAGACTCTAGAGTTGAAGCAGGTAGAATTGAAGTGGGAAGATCACAGCCTAACTGACCAAAGCCTTCAATGAAACATTACAGTCCTAGAAGATCGCTCAGAAAAATACACTTCTGCCTGAAATTCTCTTGAAGTTTTGTTATCAACCAGTGACTTTCCTTGAGAAGATACTCTCAAATAACTGCTAGTTCTCTCCAAAAGCAGTGGAGCTGAAGTAAACTAGCATTTTGTTATTGAGAAGCTCTTTCTTATCTTTTGTTTTAAGAAGGTGGGTACAACCAAATAGTCTATTGTTCTAGGGGAAAACTGCATTCTTCCTCTCCCTGCACAGAACAGAAAACAGCTCTCCCAGGGTCTAGCTAAAGACTTAAAGGTCACTGGCTGGATTCATTAAGTTTAGATTCTTGGGGCTTGCTATGTCTCTTTTTTCTCTTAAATATTATTATGGCAAACACATTTACATTACATACAAGGAATGTTTGATGTTAAATACATTACCTCTTTTTCTCCATTTCCAAATGAGGAAACCATAATACCTTACAGATTTAAAGCAAAATGAGGAAGAAATATATTCTTAAAGAAAACAAATATGACTTCACGGAAATATCATCATCAAAATTGGCAAAGATTTTCAAAGAGAACAGAAGGCATCCAGTAATTCGTTCTCTGAGTCCTAGCATGGAAGCCAGATTCTACATTAGTTTTCTTTATCAGATTGTTTTATCTAGATATGCATTAGCTGACAAATATTAAATATTCAGAGTTTCATCTCCTTTGACCTGGTTGTCTCCTACTGGAAAGTATCTAATGTACATCTAAAACCAGGAAAATTTTATTTTAAAAAAGTAGTAAGGGAAGGTAAAAGAGGAGCACCAGTTAGAATCTAATAAAATAACTATATAAGAAAAGGTGGACTAAAAACAGCTTAAGAGATTATTTTCATGTTATACCAGAAGAAAGCTAACAGACAGATCTACTTTCAACCAATGATTCAAACTTTCACAACTCAGTCGTGACCATTCCAATAAATTAGGCTGTTCTATTTTGCAAGACATTAAGGATTTCTGGAAACAGTAGTCAAAGTCTCAAAAACAACTTCTGAAGTTGTACTCACACAATTCTTCAGACGCCTGTTATTCCATTCAAAAACACCCTGTCATAACATAGGACAGTTAATGCCTTGAAAAAAAGAGTGCTGTAAAAAATACCTCATAGATCATTTTAAACATACAAGATGCAAGTAATGTTTGTAAAGCAAAAAGATCCTCTAAATGTATGCAAGGACCCCCAGACCCAAAGTGACGGACCACCTTTTCCATCCTCATTTTCACCTCCGAATGAGCTGCTCAGTGTGCCTTAGCAATGAGCAATCACAGACTGCATCCCAGCAGCTGCCAGTTTCCCTGGGACAGGAGAGAGAGCAGAATGCCACAGGGAAGAGTAGCTCAGAGGGAGTTAGGGAGAGGCACTTACACAGAAACCTTTACTTTGTTTAGTGCCAAGGGGCACCATCCAATTAAAGATATTTTTGCCCCACACTTCAGGCAAAAAGCACAAAAGAGTCACCATTTCGCTCTAGCAGCTGGGTCTCTTAGATCTTAATGGAAATGAAGGATTCCAACAGGCCCTTGGCAGGAGTCTCCAGCACCTCCAATACGTGGTTGTTCAAACACATGGCATACACAGTGCTTGTGCCTCCCTTCCAATCGTATTTGTGTTGCCTTTTCCCCTCCTGATCTGAAAACCAAGTCACTGTTCTGGGCTGGGGAGTTACTGCCACAGACACGAGCTGCTGATCTGAGAGCGACTTTAGTTCTGCAAAGCAGCTCCTGCTCTCCCGGCAGGAGGCTCTGGGAATGGACAAGGTAAGCAAACAAGGACTGCAGCCGTGGCAATCCCACTTTGTTTCTGGTACCTGGTGCACTTAGTAAAAGCCTGACACGGATGACTGCTAGGTCATGCATGTCATAAATGTTGGAGCTCTAAAAAGTCAATTTAAAAAATTTGATTTATAACTTAACTGTGCAATTCAGAAACACATTTTTATCTAACACTGGCTATTTTAAGTCTATTGCAGGCTTAAGTGGTAAAATTCTATTCATAAATATTTTCTACAACAAGTTGCAATACCCCTTTTAACCTTGTGTAGATAAGGGGAAATTGCATTCACATTGTCCCTAAGTGTATTTCACATATTTCCCTGGACACAGATAGTCTTCAGTAGCAGTCAAGCAAGGAGCATCAACAACCATGGTACATAAGAGCTTTGATCCTGGGGTATGTGTCAGACTTAGCAGTATTAGGAATTTATTAGGAAAATAGGAATAGACAATATTAGGAAATATTAGGAATAGACCATATAAGAAATATTAGGAATAGACCATACAACCTTAATCTATATTTCCAGGCTGACTTCAGGAAACTAGTTCACATAGGTAATTATGAGCTGGTTGTTGACTTTGGTGTTTAGGACAAACATTCCCTAGGACATTAGTTTTTAAACTTTATTTCAGCAAAATTGTCTTCACTAATTTATTAGTGAATGAAGGACAACTTACATGCTATGAACACACGGTGATTATTTAA